GAAACGGAGGACTAAATCCAGCCAGCCTCATAGAGAGAGAAGGCCTATTAAAAGATGCCAGAACTGTAAAAGCGTACTGAGCTGCACCCTAATAGTACTGCAAAAATCAAAACTTATGTAGTAATCATTTTTAGACGAACAGGCAATTTAATCACATTTGCATTCTCCGATCACCACACAGCTTATGACCGCGGTCTATGAAGGAACACTATCTGCGGTTGCGATTCTCATCAGTGAGGGACCGAGGAAGAAATAAAGAATAAAAGATGCTCAAAAGCTGTCGACTGATGAAGCCTAAGCCACGACCAGTGCCAATCCAGCTCCAAAGCCCCACGAATTTTCATCTCGAGTGGCAGAATAGATTGCAACCTACGAGACTAGGGAAATTTTAGCTGTTTCAGGACTATTCTCATCTGTTTTTAAGATTCTGCTTAGTATCGATGTATAAATAGCTATCCAAGTCCTCACGCTGATACAAAGTGTATTATAGAGACGATTTTTTTGTTATAAATCGGAAGTATGTATTTGCGAGGACCAAATTTAATATACCAACATGAATAACGAGGATAGCAGAACCATTTTGGTAAATGCCTAAGCTGCTAGGAGAGATCAAGAAGCACTACTAGTAATTAGGCTGAAGATCGAGATTATTCCGACACTTTAGCGAAGATATCCTAGACTTTAGCTTGAGTGAGATTAGAATGCCCTATTAAAAACAACAAGTTATGTACCAGGAGATAATGAAATCACAACTGAGCTAAGACATGGTGGTGGTGCTAGAGACTGGAATGGAATGGACGTTGGCGATGGTCCAGAGTTAGGTGAGGCAGCTTTTTCCTGAAACATCCAGTCTCCCAGACAACCTCATTTTCGAAAAGACGTTTGTAATACTACGTACATATTTAATGCTGCGTCAAATTATGCAGAAGACTGAGGGCTATAATCAGTCATTATTATTGGCCTTTTTGTACCTTCTTCGATTCGGTCAAGACCTGGGCTGTGCTACAGTCTCTTTAATGGCGTCAAATTGACTGTCGATACATGCAACTTCTGAAGTATTTGTATGAAAACTTCATCATATCAGCCCTCCCCCAAGATCAGAACTCGAAACTTATCTGATTGCTGCGAGGGTTCAGAGTTGGAGACACCATAATCTCTTAAAGTCTTCATTACCTCCCACTTAGAGGTTTTCAATCTTCTGAGCTAGACCGAGCTCAGTATCAAGATACGGCGAGTACATTAAAGAATCGTTTAGCATCTAAGTAAGTAGCTTTCACTCATACACTTGCCAGCGAAATTGAAAAATTTTGTATTCCTGTGCGGCTGATACTAATATTTACGGGTCTGCTGGAAAAACAATACCACAAGTCGCAAGTCTTTATAGCCCGATCAGAAGGACATAGCTGAGTGATGCAGGGAAGAACAACTCTACGTCTCTCAAAGCTTCTTTGGAGAAGTAAGAGAGTGTCGAAATTGAGCCACTGTAATTGCTTTTTTTCGTGGGACAGTTTTGAAAGGCTATTTAAAACACTTAAAATATAAAATATCACATTTCTTTCATATCATTTGGAAGTCTTATTTAATGTATTTTATGGCTATACTATTTTTAAATTACTAGAATCCCCGAGAAAGAAGGAATAACACAATTTATGAGTAGAAATAGAGTTAGGACGCGCCACCGGTATTAGATTTTGGGTCTTTGAAAATTTTTTTAGTACATAAAATAACTACCTATTGTCCTGAAGACTTTGCTATCGTGTAAAACGCTGTATAAACTATATACAGAAAAAAAATCATCGCTCTTGTTACATTTCTCCCATCGATTCTCAGCTCCGCCGCGTAAAAAACGTGTTTGGGATATTCACCCTTATATTTCTATCAAAGAATAATCTAACCCTTCTGAATCAACTTATGTAGACACATGTCTACACGACAAAACTTTACTTATAACTATGTACGCTCCTGGAATATATTACATTATTCTAAATATAAAACATTTTTGTTACTTCAGACTTTCATAATATGAAAAGACTTTCTTGCTAAATGGATGTCGCCTGAAAGTTCATCTGTGAAAACTCAACCATCTCTGCCATGAATTGATATTTATCTAAACCTCTCCTTAATCCATATCTCGAGCAGCGCAGTGCTCGCATTACTTACGCAAATTGAGCGCATAAAAGCGCAAGATCTCTCCGATACGAAATTCTATGAAGGTAATTCCAGCTCACTATTCGGAATAAAAATAAACAGAGTCAATCAGACGTCGCAATCAGGTGCTTATTCTCATCGCCGAGCGACGGACGCGCGACGTATGTACGAGCACGTCACACCCTCGCTAGGGTTACTGCGCGCTCTCCAGTCAGGCCATAGAGTGGGCGGCTCAACACAAATACCTCATGAACACTTAATGCTAAATTAATTTCTTCTAGCCAATGCTTGACTGAACTAAAAACCATCCTATAATCATGTATCATCCTCATAAGCGACGTATCGCATGTATACCACTTACATATTCGGATACGAGATACTTATGAGGACATACTGAAATAAGATAGAGATCTTTTCAGACTTAGACTAGCTTAAAAGATACTTAAAAGTAGCTTAAAGCTCTTTTACTTTCCATTTTGCATAACTCTGTGTAGGGTTAGGCATAATTTATAATCGTGTTTGCTATAGGTAACTGTGACAACAAATCGAGTCCGAAATGACATTCATGAAGCACCCCGCTCGTCTCGTGGCGGCACACAATGTGTGGAACGCGTCACGCGCGCCATTCCGTCAGCAATATTGTCTAAAGCAATTTGTATGTAAATCAATTGTTGTTAATACTATTTATGCCGATGGTTATTGAGCTACACTACTTACTTTCACCCGCGAAAAACCCACGCGAATCCCTATTCTATTCTAATACGAAACAAAGACCAATTTCGCGACAACCCCCGCACATTACTTGACAAAAAAGCATGAACCTAAGACGTGATGTTAGGTAATTGTTAATAGGGGATTGCCTCACATTCCAGCTTTGTTCTGAGCGGATTATGTTGGTTATAAATTTTATTATATTATAAATAAGATATTTATGAATACTTTTTATAGGCGTTAAAGTTGGTGATGAAAATATTGGGCGCAATAGGACGGGTTATGGTATGGTGGAAATAATAAAGAAGTTTATGTAAGGCGTGGCAGTGGGTTAACAAATAAGTAAATAGACCAACAAATCACGCGTATCGGATTAGCCCTATACGTTATTTATGTGCGCTGAGTTAGCGATACGCATCTCGGACGCAGGAAAGCTACGGCGGACGTGGCATAAAGGACTTTTGATTCAATAAACTGAATCACACTACAAAAGTGCGAATTGCACTTATAGTTACGCATTAATTCCCAAATTTCATAGAAATCGGCCTTTTTAGTGTCAACCGCTGGGCTATTTTGGTGAACCTACTCCTTCTAACACAAACTTGGCTTAACTAGATACCACTTCAGTAGGTAACGAGAATACTTCTATTTGTACACTTTAAATTACTTCTGAAAAATTAAAAAAGGACTAGACTTTCACCTAAAAAGTATTTTTTACACCTCTATCCTATCAAATTTCCATTTACTACTTACGAATGACCTGAAAAAATATACCGCATCCAACCGAGACAGACGCTACTTGATTCCGCGCCGCTCCTACAGAAGGGCCTCAAGAACTATATTGTCGCGGGTATCTAGCGCGGACACATGTGATCCTCCTCAATTAACTACAGAATGAGTCGACTGATAGAATTACTGCATTTGAAAAACTAAGACCTGGAATAAAATCTCACTTATTTAGGACGTTCTAGAAATGACAGCTTAGAGATTTTGGGGAACTGATATCTTAATTTATATTATAGGACATGTATAATTTTAAAAGAACTGTCGCTGGTCAGTTTTTGAAGATTTGGATATGACCGCCCTGACGTTAAAATTGTCAATTAAAATCAAATCCTTTGAAATAATGCTAATGTGGGTAGGTCTCTTAGAGTTTGTGAAACTTATTTATTTAAAAAAATCAAAAACAATTTGTCTACTTTAATATGTTATGTTTGCATTACTTAGTAGAAACTATCGCTTGTAGAGCTGGCGGGTCTATGTTTGCGTAGGTCTGCAGCGGTGATAGAGAACGTGTCGCGTTGTTATTACCATACTAGCTGAAAACCCGGCTTCGCTCGGGTGAAATTTGACTCGTAATACACAATTCTAGGTGCAAAATGTAGATAGATGTTTCTGTAGTCATCAGTTCTCAAAGAATATTAAATATAGATTCATATAGCTTCGTTAGTTGTGTTTAATAAATATGGTAAATAAAAACTGCATAAGTTTTTACACAAATTATTTTTATTTTAAATCAGCATTCAAAATAAACTAATACAAATTAACAAAACAATCGTCTGAAAAAGTTCCTGGTCTTTATCTGGGTCAGGTATTTCTGCACACACAAATTTATCATAATCTACTGATGACCTTGGTTTATCTTCATTTCTTAGAATAATAAGCATATGCGCATGTGGAAGCCCACGTTTCTGAAATTCAATAGTGTAAAACCACGCACTCGGTATTCCAAAAAAATATTTTCTTGTAATGTCATCTAAAAGTTCCTCCAATTTAAGTTTAAAAATTCAGGCAATTAAATAGGGTCTATGTTCTTTTTTAGCGCCTTGTAAATTTTCTAAGATTTCTTGCCAATTCGGATTGCACGTTAATGTTATAAATAAGTCTGGTTTACCATAAGTACTTGCATACAATTGCCATGGAATCCTGATAATTTTGCATCATATGCCGAGGACTTCCCACATAAGTTGCTGGCAATATTATCATTTTACCAATGCCTTGACCCATTTCTCTATCATTATATTGTTATAATTGTCAGCTCTGAGCTGTTTTTGATTCATTCGAAGAAACAATAATCTTTGAGATTCAATCCTAACATAGGCCAAGACACAATATTCATGAAAAAGATTTTCAGCGTAAAATAATGGGCTAAAATTTTTTCACCTAAAAAATGAAGTGCTTGACATTGAACACATTCATTAATCATAGAACCAACTGAATGTACTGATACTTGAATGGTGTTATTTGAAAGTGCTAAATATAAATAGTTAGTCCTGGGGGGCTGATATTCTGTACCTACTAAACCTGCTTGATTATTTACGTTTTTTCGGGGGTCTGTCCGCCATTTGATATGTTTTCTTCTTCTTCTTCTTCTAAAGAAATAAAATCACTGCTGACTGACAGCATCTGTTTTTCCTTGTTGTCCGAAGAAGCTGACTGACAGTAGCTGTTTTTTCTTGTTGTCTGAAGAAGCATCATCAATCATCAATGAATCCTCGATTACCGTCAACTCTTCGTTATCAACCTCAAAAGAGAAATATATTTATGAATAGCTAATTTAAAGCTTTAATTTAAAGATTTAATTTAAATTTTTAATGCTATATTGTGTTACTCTTATTAAACAAATTTAATAAGATGTGATGAAAAAATACACCACATGCAGGAATTGAACCTACATCCTCGACTTCTCCGTTGTCGCGCTCTTACCATCTGAGCTAACTGAGTTTAAAGAGAAATATATTTTATTTTTAGACAAATACCTATTCAAATAATAATAAGTATTGTGAATGTATGTAGGTTTAGGTATATCCTCCCACCTCTGTATTTATTTTACTTTACTCAGTGACCTACACTATTAACTTACCTGAAAGTCATCAAATAAATCTTGTGATGCAGCAGAAGCAGCTTTTTGCTTTTTAGGAAAAAGGTTTGATAGTGCCCGAGCCTTGTTTATTCTTAACTGCCTAATTGTTTCTAAGCCACAACACTCTCAATAATTGAAATTATCTGCAAAAATATATTACACAATTATTTATAATAAGAACCAGCCGAGCTCAAGTGGAACTTGCGCATGAAGGAGTCTATTCCGTTACCAGAAAAAACGGTGCAAAAATCGTGTCTGTTTCTGTATTATGTTGATAACAACTCAACACAGGCTATGCATGTGGTCATTTATTATTATTTGTCGGGTTAAATAAAAAAAATAATTAAGCCGCTTACCGAGTATAATGTTGTCGCATTCCACACATCGACTGCACATTTGCATTTGTTTGCAGTTTCTTACAAATATTTTGCCATTACAAAAATTGAATGTCACTGGAATTTATCACTGTGCGAAACTAAATGACACTGACATTTGAACTTCAACTTTTATGGTTATGGCTAATATTCTTTTTCTGTGGTTGAATCGGCCAATACCAGGTTTAAAGAAAAAACACACAACAAAGAGTATATCATAAAAATCGATGACAACCCAGCAAATAGTTTATGGTTTATATAAGGTTTAGGCGCTGATCGCATAGTGAATGGATGGTGAACTACTAAAGATGGCGACAGCGGTTTGTTTGTTGTCAGTGCCATCGGAATTTAACGAAATTCTCCATTATCCGAATTTTGCGGATATATGTTGTCGACTCAAAATCGATATTTTTTTATGCTTTGTTATTCATATAAGGTTTCGATCCAGTCTACCGTACCCCTTGACGAAATTATTAATATAGAAATCAGTCGCTTTGACGGCTCGCCTTCTGAGACCACGGCTCTGCCTCGGACTAGATTGAACACGAACAATTACAATCTCATTTGATTATTATCTGGCTGTGTGTGGTCGTCTGTATCTGTCAAACGACAAATAGATTCTAAAAAGAGTTGTGGCATGGCTAGATTAGTCGTAATAGATCTCATACTAAATTTAGATTCAATGTGCGCCAGAAAAATGGCTCTAGAGGTGGTCCCTTCATCATGAGTCTTCATGCTATCACGTCAGAGGTTCTTTTAAAATTTTCCGTACCTTATCTTTTATAATACCCTATAACATCGTCAAACTCGATCTCAGATAAAAAGAAAATAACAATACGTCGAAGCAAACTGTCTCCGAAACAACACTTCGATTCTCCCCTATAGCAATTTTCCTACAAACAATTTAGTGGCGCCATATTAAAATTAACGATCGCCAAATTACGAACTGTTGATTTAAGTTGATCAGCATAAATTACGTGGGCGGCGTATTAAAAAACAAGACAGTCCAAACAACTTGTTTTGTCCTTAATTGTAAATTTGTCAGGCGTGTTCAGCTGAGTCACTTTCAGCACTGAATCAAAATACAGAATAAGCTACCATTTAGTATGTTTTGCAACTGCAAAAGCTTTACCCATCCAATATATTTTTATTTATAGGTAAAACTAGCTTTCCGCCCGCGGCTTCGCCCGCGTGGAATTTTGTCTGTCACAGAAAAACTTTATCGCGCGCGTCCCTGTTTCAAAAACCGGGATAAAAACTATCCTATGTTCTTTCCCAGGACTCAAACTATCTCTATGCCAAATTTCATCAAAATCGGTTGCGAGGTTTAAGCGGGAAAGCGTAACAGACAGACAGACAGACAGACAGACAGACAGACAGACAGACAGACAGAGTTACTTTCGCATTTATAATATTAGTTGGGATTGGGATAGTTGGGATTAAACGAGCATAATTCTTGAACAATTGCTATCATCCGTCTAGACAGAAATGATGCTGAAACTTTTATGGCTTTAGCGCCCTTACAAACTTATCCCTGGAAAAACAAATCCCTCCAGATAAATTTATTCATTGGACCGAATCAAATTAGAAGAGAAAAAAGAAATTTGATGTTCACCGTGACGTGTACAGTTACATACAATAATCGAGTACAAACAAAGGCGGACTTCTGGAGCGGTTTCATAAATCAAAACAGGAGTAAACGTCACTTTTGGACGATCGTAAACTGACGGTGATTGTACACAGTACACCCAATAAAATCACTTTGGCGCCACAGCGTAATACATCTCCATTGAGCCATTTTTCAAAAAGTCGGTATGTTAAAAATTACTAGTTGTGTTTCTTATTCTGCTTATATTTTTGGTTTGGAGTAGACAAGTGTGTATTGAGAGGGGATAAAAGTGGGCATTAAAAAGGACGAACAATTTGAATACGAGTGAAGCCACGATCCAATTTTGAGATTGCCGCCGAATAAGGTTGTGAGCACACGGAGGGAATGTAAGTGAAAAGCTTGGCAAAAATGAAGATCGATGATAATGCGATTTTAAAATCAGAAGTATAATATGAATGCATTTTACAATTTTCTAGTTTAATTATATTACTATTAAATTTCTAGTTCTATCATAATTATAATTTTCTGTTAGCCCTTCTAGTTCTAGGGTAATGAAAATGTAAAAAGTAACTTAGTATTCGTTTTGAATCTGCTCCACTTCAAGCCCCTGAAAGTGCCCTCAATTATGCGCGTTCTAAATGCCTTATACAAGACAAGCGCGCAATTTGACGCAAGTAATGAGCGCTCATTCGTATGCGGGCGTCCGGCGCAGGCACTGACATAAAACCACAGTAAAAAACATGTATTTCATACATATGTACTTTGTGGAAGTCCGCTTTATGCCCTCGTAAAGTTTTTTATGTGGCTAAGTAAGGACAGTAGGTATGAATTAATAACTTATGCTTGCAAGGTGAGGGATCAATGGGTGGTTAAAGATTGCTTTTTGTTCTTTAAACCTACATTAATTATGCGGTTATTTTTTAATTATGTGTTGCATTAATAATAATTCAGTGTTAATTTTATTAAAATAAATACATTTTGTGGTTCAGATTTAAGTAACTCAACGTTTTCGAACAACTTAGACGCACAACTTTATGCTATTTGTGTGGTAAAATTCGAACAGAACTGCATTTTGTAGCAAGATTTTGGCTACATTTTGCACAGTCGAGGTTGCGGCTGCGCGACACGGAACGAGTGCACTTGCAGTGGACCGCTACCTTTATAAATGGGTTTTCAATTCACTTTTACGAATAATTCCGAAGCCTTGTTTACATGGTTCTGCAAAACCCAGAGAGGAATTGTAGAGGAGATTCTATAGACGTAAACTGGGTTAATAGTTGAGGAAAATAGTTTTATTCATCAGCTTTCTCATTAATTTCGTAATTACAATTTACTAAGTAATAGTTTAAAAAAGTTTGAAGAAAGGTTAAGTTTTGCTTTGTACTCGTGTTGTTGTATTTTGAAGAAAAATATTTTTATTTTTTTACTAGAGGAAAAAATTAAATAGATAATTAAAAATGAACTTATCAAATTCCGTCGTTTTACGGCCGGCAATTGTTTCGGGTCGCGTGCGCATAAACAGCTCGCGTTTACACTTCAGGCCCTCGTAAACGACGACCGACGCGCACGACTCAGCGTTTTCTTTTGTAGGGCGGCGAAGATGTTTTACAGTTTTTAAGATACTATCGATGAGAAAGATCTACTCGTATTTGCTAATGCTCTTAATGCTACTCACTCTAAACTAATGTTAGCATATAAAGCACATTAAAAATGATATAATACGAGTAGGTATTATGAATAAATAATTATCATTGGACATTTTACACTACGCTTCTAGTTAGTTGTTAGTTATGTTAGTATACGCGGGCGAAGCCACAGGCAGAAGCTAGTGGGAATAATCAAAGATCATTTTTTAAACAAACAATAACGTCTATCGTGACAAATAATACACATTAACGCCATGAACCTACATAGGCAATCTTTTTTCAAGATAATACCATCATGAGTTTGCTATTTGTGTAGGTAGTATCGATAGAGTATGCCCAAAATGATATTGACCATCTCTAGACTCCCTAAATCTTGCGTCCCAACGTGGACGGTTAGAAGCAGAGTACAGTACAGATATTTGCATTTTATTCGCCCGGGGCCCTGCGTCCTTCTCCGAGGAAACTTTATATCTTTCAGGTAATAACCTCTTTGACGGACATCCTTGGGCAAAACCCTCTCTCAAACATTCCAGTTTAGATCCAAAGATCTAGGCAATAAGAGCCCTGATGGTGGCATAGATAACGTGGTTTTAAGACAAGGGTAGAGATAAAAATAAACGGATTATTGCTCGAGTATCGTCTCAAAGATCTCCGCTCGTTTGTCGGAATGCTGCCGATGTGGGTAGGTGGACGTGTGGAGTTTCATGTCTTAGGTTTTATACATGGTCTGATTTTTATCTGTGTTTTGTTACGGCGGCGAATTTGGTAAACAAACACCAATTACAATAGAATTTTAACATTTTATTATATCTTCCCTGATTTGTTTAGTACGTATTTTTATCGATCTACCTATCTTTATATTTATTTTGTCTGTTACAAAATAAAAATAATACAACAGAAATCTTTATAAAATATCTTGACGATAATATTAGTAACGTTATAGCTTACTATAATGGAATCATAGAGTTGCGTAGGTACGAGAGTTGAATAGGATGGTCATTTTAAAAAACCTTTCCGTTAAAACCAATTAAGAAAATGAATGCAAAACAGCGTCTGATCCAATTACCTTCATAAACGTTTCCTCCGTCGAGAGCGCGACAGTCCTTAGCATTCGCCGCGAGGTGTCGACAGGTCGTAATTGACTCCTCGCACAGAAGAGGTAATTTTTAGGGCGCTCTTTGTGAGGGAATAATGGAGCTATTGGCAGGTCGGCAATCTGAATACCGGTTACGTAACCTGTTGAGGGTTCGGAGATGCTTTTGTGTGCTTTTGACGAAGAAATCACTCATTTCTAAATCCACAAAATGAGATATGGTACATTTGTAGAACATTTTCAATGATATAAAACGACTTAATAAAAGTTTGTTAACAAATAGGTATTTGTAACTGATTTAGTCGGAATAATATGTGCAATATGCTTACTCTGTGCACTGCAAATTATGATAATTACATAATAATTTGTGCTAAAGAAGTGAGCTCGGTAAGAGTATGTTGAATCACAATGACATGTAGAAATCAAACTAGTAGGACCTAGAGCTATCCATAGTCCTTGTTACCACAATAATAAAATAAAATAAATGTGTTTGGACAACCCTGGTAGCAATTAGGTGCAAGGAGCATCTTCCAAGGTGTGATGAGCCGATTTGCATAAGGAGGTGATAAAAACAGGGGGCGCCGCTCATTACCGGCCGGGACAGAGGTTGCCTTAGCGGAGCTCTTAGGCATTATAGCATCCCATAACACAAACGCTACCAGATAGGTGCTTTACTACTGTAGTATTAAGTTTTAATCTCCTTTTAGTAATTATTCTTACCAACTTCTCATCATCCATGGTTAATACGTATTGTAACAGAAGTGCATGGATGTTTGTGCTTGCAAAATATCTATCGTTTGCATTCGAAACCGGTCAGCAAATTTATTTGGCCGCTACGCAAATAGAGATGAGTATAATAAACCTAATTC